CCCCGTCCCCGCCCTTGCTCCCTCCGTTGATTGTAAAATAATTTTCGAGATCTTTACGGAGTTTCGAGATTTTTAAGCGTTGCCCTCTCTTCGTTCTCCCTCCTTGCCCTTTTTTTAACTCGTACCCGAGGACTGCGTTTGTATAGTAATCTCCCCCGTTTCTTCGTTTCCTTTTCTTTATAGTTTTATTTTTCTTTCTTTTTACACGGTGCCGAAAACGCGCCGGACGATAATAGCGATTTTTTAAACGAACGATCTGTAACGTAATTTAACGCGTAATAATTTTAGCGTAGCCACATCTTATCAGTGGATCCGAGAGGAGCGTAATAGCTTAATCGATAATCTCTCCCGTTAAGGCTAATGACACTATGGATATCGTAATAAACGAACTTACAGGCTGTATACTATTATTCACGTGCGAGTATTCTCGTCGCCCCCGTCAAAATTCCCGCGCCTAGTCCATTCAATTTCCCCGTATTCATAGGCCTGTTCTTTGTAGCTGAACTGGTGCAATATATTGAAGCGAGACAAATATACGTTTTCTCACTTTAACTTATTGCACTAATTCAACAGTGCAGCTACAAAGAACAGGCCTCATTCCGATTCTACCTCAATGTCTGTCGGAACATATAACAATTTTTACATATTATGGCGTACTTTTTTTAATTTCTCTCTTTCTTTAACATTTCTTTAACATTTTTTATATGAAAGATCATTCAATATATTAATGAACACACTGTTCAGATGAATGATTTCATAAGAGATGTGCACATCATTCTAACCTTTAATTTTTGCTATTTGAATTTTTCAGTTTATTAGAATGATAACGTCTTATCTTATATTGCTGATATAGGTGATATATTCCGCAAGTATACGAAACGCAGCTGATATAAATATCAGCTGAATAAATCGCAGATACAATTTAACATCAATGCCAATTTTAAAATAACTTCTGACAAACTGATACGTCAAACGCGCATATGCAAAATTAACAAGTCTGCCCCCTCCCTTCTCTCTCTCTCTCGCGATCGATACTCGCCGCAATTTCGCAATTCCAGAAGTCATACGAATAAAGTCAGCCAATTAAATCACACGATGTCCGATTTCATGTCTCCTTACACGCATACTGATGGGCAGTTTGACTGCATAAATCGCTATCGTGCATTAGAAGATCTATGCAGTGAACTGAGCTACACGGTCAGTATGTATGTATGTCGTGAAGTCATATGTTTCTAACTTTTTCTAACTCACTAGCTCGAAATCCCTCCGGAATCCCAGACCTTTAACCCTATCATTGATGCTGCGCGGACGCATCCCGCTTCGTTTCACTTCGGCGCGAACCGGCTGATGCATCAGCTGATACCCTTTCTTTTCCCTCTCTCCTCTATGCGCCACGAACGCCAGGAGTGTGACACGTCAACGCGCGCGCGCTCACTCGCCTGTTCCCGTCAATAACGAGAAGTTTGCGGTGAGTGCCAGCACTTTTCGCGAGCGCGATTCATTGTTCAGTTCGGACATGGCGACATCGGCGGGTCCGTAGATGCGAGCTCGACGAAATCGTCATCATTGCAGTCCAACAGTCATCCCGTTGGCCTGTCGCCGCTATCTTCGCTGATCAACGCGGATGAGGAGGCAAACTCGGTCGCGGAGTCGCTCTCTCCAGAATGTCGTCGTGTCGAGTACCAAATTAACCTGCTCACCTGTTTGTCCGCCCATACACTTGCGTGCCGATCATTCGATAAATTTTTACCGTGACAATGGACACTGACGAGATTTTACGTAGAGTTTTCGGCACGAATCTTATCATCGAACGCGCCACCGGGGCCAGACAAAACGATGATCATCTTACAACAACCAGGTACGAGTATTCTTGTCTGTTATTTTCATTTATTGCTCTTCCCTACAGAGTCCTCTTATTCTTTTTCGTGATACTGTATTTATATTTCCAACGGAGAAAGTTTCCGTTGAAATACAATGATACTGTATTTATATTTCCAACGTGAGAAGTTGCAATGTGAAAAATGCAGGGACCTTTTATTTGTATACATATGTGTGTTATGTACATGTGTATGATAAGGCAACAATCCTTTTGCATCATTATTATTTCTTGCACTATATCAAAGTGATAAAAAGCACATATTTATTTTTATCATGAAAATTAATGAAACAAACAATTATATTGACCCTCTTAGTCATTGACATTCTAACCTGATTCTTCATGCAACCAATATTGCAATTAAACTTCTTGTCTGTGCACTCAATAATCCCAAAAGGGGTTAATTTGATAACTAAAATTGTAAACAATCACTAGTTGCAAGAAAAATTTTTCAATTTTTTCTGAACTGATTAGGGACTAAAAAAGATAAAAAATTAGATGTCAACAATTGAATGTTATTTTAAGAAAGTTTATCTTTAATAAAAATTAAATATTTCTTAAATAGTCAGAGAGTAATTATATATTCAAACAGCACATAACATCCCAGAATCGTTCCAAATGTGGCCATATATGCAAGAATGTCTTAAGACATCCTGAACACATCCAGAATTATTTCAGGAAGTTTTGTGCTGACAATTATTCTTAATTGTTAATGCTAAGGTATTCTAATTGATGTTTTAGACCATCACACAATCTGACCCGGGTCAACGATTATATTAGGAAATCTTTGTTGAACTACACCTGGAATTCTGAAGATAACAGAGAAGGTCGTGTAGGCCCCAGTGTTGTTAGATTCGACATATCTATGCACCATGGTCTCTGCATCGTCTCTCCCGACCGGTTGAGTGTTAATTCGCAAAGTCACTTCAGCACAATACGAGCTAACGCTGCAGCCTTTGAGGGAAAATGGATGTATGAGGTGCAACTTGGATCTAAGGGAGTGATGCAAGTGGGTTGGGCAACCACTCACTGCAAATTTAATCAACAAATTGGAGTTGGTACGTTGAAGAAATTCACATATGTAATCATTATATTTGCTATATCTCTATTATAATTTTCTAAAAAGAGATAACAATTATAAAGAGTGTATGTAATTTTTTATAAATGGATTCCATATTGAGAAAACTATTAAAGTAATTATTGTTAGATATTTTTCTACAAAAAGGAGAATATATTTTTCCACAAAGATCAATTTATTTAATATACAATAAATTTGTTTCAGCAATCATTGATATATTTTTTCCTTTTCAGGTGATACCGCCGATTCATATGCTTATGATGGAAATCGCGTGAGAAAGTGGAACATAAACACGTACAAGTACGGCGAGTCTTGGTTAACGGGCGACATCATCGGATGTGCGTTGGACATGGACGACGGGACAATAGATTTCTACAGGAATGGCAGAAGTCTAGGCAGAGCGTTCGAGAACGTACCGATGGGCGTCGGAATCGCATATTTCCCTACTGTCAGTCTGGCCTTCACAGAGAACTTAACGGCCAACTTCGGTTCTGTACCCTTCAGATACCCCGTGGAAGGTTACCAACCATTGCAGGCACCACCGACGACGCAAGTTCTACAAGTCACTCTTCTCTTCCAATGGCTGTTTCAAGTGATCGAATTGTTGGAACACTTCAAGAACATCGATAAGCAAAACGTCTTGGTGGGGGACAAAACTATGAGCACCCAGGCATTTCTCATGTGCCTGGCGAGATCTATCTTGAAACATATGGGCCCTCTGCTCACCGTCCCCTATATTACTGAAGCGGTCTTTGTGCCATCTATGCAAGCGTTGTGCAATCTAAACACGAAGGACTGCACGATGATGAAGTCGTCGTTGTATTCAAATTTCTGCAACGCCAAGTTAATCATTTGTCTGGATCTGTTGTGGACATTCTTGGAGGAACAGGAAATCAAGATGTGTTTGGAGAACACGGTTCTCCATTTGCTTTCCACATTCAGACATGTTTCCCGACTGCTCGAGTATCCTGATCAGTGCAAGAGCCTGATGCTGCTGACCCGAATCTGTCAGCATACCGTTACACGTCAACACTTGCTGCAATCTTTACTGTTCGATCGCGTACGATTCGCCAATTTCGTGCATGTTAAACCACTCGATGAGGGTGGACTGGAGGACGTAGTAGATAAGGTCTGGTGGGAGACAAATCCCGTGGATCCGACTATTGAGGAGAATAAGGCCGATTATCTTTATGCTTGCAAGCGCATCAAAACTGCCATATCTGGTAAGGTATAGTACGCTTACATTTTTCTCAAAATGCCTAAGATATAATTATGAGTTATAATTATTCATGCATAATTAAATTATTCCAGAAATAGTCTTGCTCCAAAAAATGTTGAAGATAGATTCCCATGTTTTTGTGCATGAACGCATTTATTTAAAGAACAAGCTTTATTTTAGACATTAGTATTGAAGTATAACTGAAGGAAATGAATAGAATGTCTTTATATAGTTTTATCAATACTATCAAGGTCTTTCTGAAAGATAACCATGTTGGAGCCAATATAATTAGTTCTTTTTAAAATAACTAATGCAATTGTATGTGCACAATTTTTAGAATACAATCTTTACAATAATAATTTTAATTGCTTTAATTGCTTAATAATTTTAATTGCTTTGTTTGCAGAGGTAGAAGCATTACAAGTTGAATTGCTAGTCACTCTGCTGAATAATACTGACGGTACTGCAAAACAGCCGGCGTCGAGAACGATCTTTTTGAGCAAGTTTAAACGCTTCATTAATGAGAACCTGATATCCAATCGCGTAAGTACACAATGTGTCAGTAAATACGGAGACTCTTTACGCGCGAATCGTTCGCGCGATACCGAAGAAATCAGTCAACAGTCCTGCAGATACGTTACGAATTCTGCAGACACCCTTGCCGATCACATTATGTTGCTTTCATCGACTTCTGGTTGCATTCAGAATTTTATGGGACACTGAAATTGGAACAAGCCCTGTCTATGTACCCTGCAGGTGATAAGGCATTACGTTACGAGTGTTATCAGACACACACACTTGCAAATGGAATCGACTCTCTACTTTAGTAACGTAGACACTTTCAATCAATTCAATATGTTTTCACAAAGCTTTTACATATTTTATGTATATGTGTGTGTATACATGTATGTATATATGTATATATATACATATACACGCATATACTGTATACTGTATACTATGAAATGCTTTTAAACGCTTGTATCGCTACTTTTTGTTATGTCGTGAACAGCTGCGTGCCTGTATACATTGATACTTTGAGATTAGTTTCTCTGATACTTAATCTTTTTTTTTTCTCTCTTGTATTTTCCTTTTTCCGAATCTTTGAGAGCACTCGCTTCGTACATTATTACTATTATTCGCAAGTATTATTGAGCCACATTTAATTTACGTAATAGCATTTCCTTATAAATTGGAATGGGCAGGGCGTTCTACGATGCATCGATCAATTACACTGGAATCGACAGACTCGGTGGCGTAATAACCCACTTAAACAAGACATTCAAGAACGAATTGCTACGCCTCCTAGGTCCAGATCATGAGGTAATCGTTGCCATGGAACAGATGGCTACGGCGCACGAACAAGCGTCGAGCACGTTCACGACCGCAACCGCCGCCGCCGTTGGCGCGGCCGCGAGACTGGCCGACCTACCCGTGGCGATACCGGCCGCATATCCTCGCCTAATTAACATCAACCCGCCGAGCCAAGGTAGTTCTATGATACTGGAAAGATTGGGATTCTTTTCGCATAGTAGAGAAGATAGGACTCCAATACGTTACGGTCCTGCAGATCCGGCAGTATCGTTGATGGAATTATTAGACGGTATTATCTTGTTCTACCATGTATCGGCAAGGAAGCAGCTGGTCAAAGTGGCCAATCTGCGAGACAATATGTCTGAGTTCATAAACGCGATCGCCGAAACCAAGGTGAGGCTCGAGCTCGTGAAAAAAGGAATAACAAAAGACACGGGCGCGACGCGGCGAGAGCTGATCCGCGCGATAGAGGTGTTCAACACAAAGCTGTCGGAGCAAGCGAGACACATGGCGTGGATACGCGCGGTTGTCTACTCGGACGAGAAGCAGGCACAGTTGGCGTGGCTGCTGCGAGTGGTCACACTAACCCTGCAGACAGCCAGCCAGCAAGGCAACATGTTTAGCTTCGTGCCCGACTTCTACCTGGAGACGTTGACCAATTTATGCGGCGCCCTCCGCAATCTCGTGCATCCCACCGCGCCGATCGAAAACGTACAGGACTACCGGGAGTTGTTGCTGAATATCGCCGAGTTTCTGTGCAACCACTTCTTGGACCCGCGTATAGTGCACGCCAACTCGAAGGACGTACTGATACTGACACTCGCCGGATTCGTGTCGCACCCGTTGACGTTGGAGGCATTGGAGAACGTGCCACGCAAAAGCAGGATAAAGGTTGTTATGAATCTACTGAAGCCATACGAGAATCGCGCCTGGGCACAGTCCAATTGGGTGTTGGTTAGGTTTTGGCAAGGTAACGGATTCGCCTTCCGTTACGAGAAGAGCCCGCATCTGTCGAAGAAGGTCGGCCCGAAGTTGTTGCAGTACGAATATATCTCGCAACCTATAAGTACATATTTCTTCCTGATATGATACGATAATCAGGATTGGAAAGTAACACGTGATTTGTAATACCGTTGATAAATTTGAGAGAAGACAATATTATGTTACGTACAGCCTTAAAATGTAACTTTCCCAATCCTGATGATGACTTTGGGTTACGTTGCGAAAAAATCAGAGATATTCACAGATATCATTGTATTGTTTTAGAACCGTGCCCGTCCGCGGTTTATCAAGCGCACGTGAGAGATGTGCTGCTTGAACATCCACAGGCAACCACGCGGTTCCTAAACTCCTTGTTGAATCAACTGAACTGGGCGTTCTCCGAATTTATCGGAATGGTGCAGGAAATTCACAACGTGTCGTCGAGGCCAGAGCGAGTATTCATTGAATCTAGACAGTTGAAGATTTGCGCCACATGTTTCGATCTCGCGATCTCGCTGCTCCGAGTGCTGGAGATGATTTCCACGGTGGCACCGAGTGTTTTCAACGATCCCGCGCAGTCCTCCAGCGAGACTTTATTAGCCAGATTGTGTCAGGTGAGTGAACGATGTTGTCTTGCACTCTCGAACCACACACTGTATCCACATTGATGTCACGTCGCGTCGTTTCTCTTGTAGTTACTCTGCCAGGTGTTGAACCGGATGAGCTCGCAGACCAGCTGTTTCCAGCATGTAGTGCTACTAGAGATACCGGATCTAGAATCAGTAGATCACTTTCCCATATTAGCCGCTGTTATCGGTATCCTGCTGGCATTGCTCGAGAATGAGATGTCCATTTTCGCAGGCAAGTACTACAACCGCACGAAATGCACAACTTCGTTTGCCGTGCCGAGTGTACTTTTAATGAATGCATTTTTCCTTTATCAGCGAAACCTACAATCGAAGTGCCGAAAATTACGCGAAGCTTATTGACAGAACCCAGCTTCCAGCTCAGCTCTCTGTACTTCGTCTTGGGTGACACGAAGTTGAAAAACACAAAGACGAAAAACATAAAATCGTTCTCTCTCTCGAACTGTAAGTATTATCAACCTACCTACAGGGTTGGGAAGTAGAGACAGAGGTCTTCAAAACTTTAAAAGAATAACTGAAATTATAACCACTCGTTATTTCTTGACGAACGAATTTTCTTTTTTTTTTCCATTCTTAATAAGTAACAACTTTTTAAAAGTAACTCCCCAATCCTGCATACCTGTTCAATTTATGCTTATTTAACATTCGTTTACTTGCAATATGTAATCGGCTATTACGTCGCACATTTAATACACTTTATACACTTATTAATGGTTTTTATTTAACATATCTCGTGTTTCCATCCGCAGATCAAGAAGATGTAACGGCGATAGAAATCGACCGAGTGAGAGAAATGATAATATACCTCGACACATGTCGCACATTGTTACCAGAATCCAAAATGATAAGCGACGACGATGACAACATTTGCACGATTTGTTACGCGTTCCCAATCGCCGCGACGTTCAAGCCGTGTAATCATCAAACTTGTCGCACTTGCATAGATCGACATCTGCTCAACACCAGAGAGTGCTTCTTTTGCAAGACGACCATAGAAAAAGTCAAGGATCTTAGCGGGAACAAGTTGCATGACTTTACCAATAAATTCGCAACCTCGAAAGAGACTTCTTGATCCAGCGACACGTGTATTTCGAAAATCGTGTATACTGTACTAAAAAAATTCTATTAAAATTTCGAAATACTCTCAATGCATCGTGCATTGAGCACCAAACAAAACTGCCGTATAATTTTAATTGTATGACGATAACAAATTTTCTCCGTCTGTAAAGATTAGAATCATAAATTGAAAACGGCAACGAAATGTAAAAAGAGTATCAAAGATATCTTTATTTATATTCACAACATACTTATTATATTATTGAGCACGTTTCTCAACGGGAACGGGAAGACTTCGGTCTTTGTTCTCATGTTATTACGTAAAAAATTAGTTTTGCGTATGACTTCCGTGTACGAGTCAATCGGTTAAAAAGAACTTATTAATAAAAATGTATATACATCAGTCTTTCTCTGACGTCTTACCTATCTAAACTTTATAAACAAATCAATAAATGAGACAGAATCGTACATTTTAAAAATTATCGTTTCTGGTATCATTTCTGTCTCGCATGTAAGATATTTAGAGAGCAAACAGTCCTTAGTCTCTATTGTTACTAACATAATAAATCTTAAAGTTTCGCAGATCATGCAGGCATATCATATGTTTCGAGAACCCGTGCAAATCTAGTATCAAACGCATAAACTCTCTCTGAGTTGTCTGATGCCGGTGACCACGTGATGAGGCTCAGACGGGTCTTTACGCAGATCGTTGAGAGCTTCCACAAAAACGACACCGCATGCGAAAGCACCCAGCGCGGTCAAAAGGATCGCGAAGACTATCATCAAGCGATCCTTATTCAGATACAATTGTGGATCCTTCAGGATTACGCTTTGCAGGAGACAGATGCCAGGTAGCACGAAAATAAATATCGCGGACAACGATCCCAATAAAGAGATCATCGGCGAGATGTCCGGCACCAGAATAGCGATGACCAGCGATGAGAAGAACCACACCAAGGTGACGATCACTCGGACACCAATTTTATTGAGGTCCACGTTAAACATACCGAGAAGCGCATCTCGGCCACAGTACAAAACGATAGGATAGGTAGTGAAGTTCTTCACCGCCACGGCGATTATCGCCACTGCCAGTACGATGCTTTTGTCGTCGTAGCCTTGCAAGATATCGCTTGGCACACCGCCTGGGCCGAAAGTGGCGTATCCGAAGATGCCCACGATGGTGTATGCACCGAAACAAATAAGCATGCTGATTACGGCGCACAACGCGAACTTACCCAGCCGGCGGTCCTTCATGCAGGCGTAGGTTGGTATCGCGGTCATGTGGCTCTGTGTAAATATATAACACATGTACACTTGTATGTTTTGTTCTTATATTGATACATACTAAGTCACAATTAATAATTTTTAATCATTGATTAAATTATAATCAGTTATTTAGAATTTGTATCCGATGATAATATTTACTTAGCAGTATTTTAGGTAACTCTTAAACGACAATATAAAACCTGTATTAAAATATATATTGTGTGTATGTATATAATATGATATTGTTATAGTATATTTAGATAATTAAGAAAAAATATACCTGATATGCGAAGCAGATAATTGGTACTAATTGCAAAGCTTCGTACCCACTATCTGGCCAGATTTTCATAGGTGGCACATTTTTGGGATGCTCCGTGAGGCTTTTATATATCACTAAGCATACGAAGTACACGATAGTTACACAGCCGATGGAACTTGCGTAACTCAGGACGTCCAGTCTCTTGAAAAAGCACAGAGGCAGTATAAATAAGCTGCAACTCACAGCGGTCACAAACGGTCTCGATAAATACCTGCGAAATTAAACAGTTTTTAAAGGTCAAAATAATCTTACAGATTATTTTGCATCATTATTGCGAATATTACCAAGTATGACAATAGTCTAGTCCATAAAATGTGGCGAACGCTCTGTCAAACTGATCGCCAACAATTATTAGGAATGTTAAGCAGCAGCCAAAACTGTAAAGGGCAACACATATTCCGCAGAGCATGAGTGATTTAGACCCGCATAATCCAGCAAATACATCTTGCAGAGTATTGGCATATACAAAGTCACTGCTACTAGCTAATATTATTAGAGCAGTCGTGATGAACACAAGAAAACCAAGCTGCATCACAACAGAGGTCCCAACTCCACCAGCTTTGTCAAAAGCTTGGGGAAAATTCAACAGTCCAGCTCCCAGGGTAGCATTAACGATTAGAAAAATTGTTCCTAAGATTCCAGCACCTGAAATATAAAAGTTATGAAAATGAAATTGAAGTTATAAAATTAAAATTTTACTTCATCATTAGCTTTTCCATTTTACTTACTTTAATTCATATTAATATATTACTAATGTATTTCTCAAATATGTATTTATAAACAATAAGTTCTTCTAATCACAATTTGTATGATTCATTCTTCTTCCCAGAAGTAAAATCAAGTAAAAACAAAACTCTATCAGTCAGTTTAGTTTGTCAGTAGAATTTTTATCAGTCGAATAGTTATCTGAAAGCTTTCAGAGCTACTCCAAAGAGTAATGATGGAAAACATACCAAAATAATATAATTTTTATGATATTATTTCCCATTTAGTTGCAAAATGTTTCAGACACAATAAAGATCTCACCAAACATCAAAATTTAAAGTTATTATCAATAGACTTGTGCAGCAATTGTTATTAACATTTATATTATTAATTATATCATTACTGCATAACCCCATCACATAATATTAATTCTTAAGGATTTTAGCTGCCGTGGCATAAGGACATGTTTGAACGTATCCTATTATTCTTTTAGAAAATATTTGGAATTATTTCCAAGGAATATTTGGGAATAGGAATTTGAACAGATTGGAAAAAGAGTAGGAAAGAGATTGAACAGAAAAATGAGAATAAAGAAAAAGTAAAGAGAATGTCAAATAACCACAAATACTCTCGAAAAAGGCTGAAGATAAGGTGACTGACGTCACCAAACTCGAAACAAAGAATAACTCTTAATTTTTATGGTTAGTCAGCTTTTACAATTCATTATGGTTATAATTCAAATAGTCCTGCAGTCGATTACCTGTTCGAGTTTGATTGTTACGGATGGCCGAGGGACTTGGTGCAGTCGACAAGAACATCTCATTAGTGATCAATCGCTCGGTTTCAGGAATCTCGTTCGTAATGTAATTCATGCTGAACACTAATCACAAGTGGAATACAGTCTCAAATGTCACAATTGTACATTGAATTTTTATTTGAAGTAAAAACATACGCTTCCTCTTTGTCCCTCGTCGTGACTGATACTCAAAATGCCTTATCTACGCATGTTCCTCGGGGCAGAGGTCGAGTCCGTTCAGGCCGTTGTAGGAAAAATGTATAGCCTCGGCACATAAACGCTATATGCTCCAACAGGCAAGCACATGGTACAAGACTAATGTTGTCTCAATATATGTCGTCAAACGTTTATCAGCTACTTGATACGTATCACAGCTGGACAGGGGCGTCTCATCCATGGCTCCAGATTTTAGGCCTGTCTACGATATATTCTATATTGATCAAATTTGTCGAATAACGGCAATAGCATTGTCTGACATATTTTATTAGTTATTATATGTAATTAGATTCTTATTTTATAGTTTAAAGAAACGAAAAACGTACGTAAAAATGACGTAGGGTTTACGAGTAAACTGAGACGATTTACCAGGGACGCGAGGGTGACAAATTTGTTATCGTCTCTTAGCTATCGGCTGAGTCAGCCAATATACCGACTGATCTACGGTCATATGGCCTTGTGCGTAATAAAAAAATCAGCTGATCGGCCAAAGTAGCTTAAAGCCCGAATCAGACTACTCATTGCCTGATGACAATTGGCGATTGACGATTAGTTTTCAATTAATTAAAGCAAAGCTACTGATTGTGTTGGTCTGATTGCTTAAACTAATCGCCAATAGTTAATTAGTAAGCGCCAGCTGTGTGTGATTCAGGCTTCACCTAACCTAACCTAATCCTAACCTAATCCCAACTATAACCTACACGCTCACGTGTCCAGGTTAGGTTCGTGGCGGTCAACTGCTCTTTTTGGCGAGTTTCTTTCGACGAAAAAATTCATCTGTTGACAACGAATCTGTTTCATCGAAGGAAAGATAAATCGACAGAAATCAATTACGATTCATCCGGCTATGTTACAGCGTGTATTCACGTCGAATTCCCGCGGGATATCGGTAAGCCGATCCTTCGTATTTTGATCGTTTTTCTTAGATGTACTCTTGGCATTTTTTTATATAATTTTCCTTTTGATAAATGTCTGTATAAATATTATATATTACTGAAGATACAGTATAATGCAACTAGTCGATTATGAGTTGTTAATAGATATATGTGAATTAATTGTATTTCTATATTTATTTTTATATACTTTCTCATACTTCCTCTCACTCAATGGGTCTGTTTTCTATTGCTTTTCTATTGCTGAACTGGCTGTACTAGTTCTCTCTCATCTTTCTTCCACCAAGTTTCATCTGTATATCTATCTCTTTTTAAGTTCCGAAAGTGTACACTAGTTCAACAATAAAAAACAGACCCCATATATGTTTGTTTTTTTAGTATCATGCTTGAATTATATAAAGATTGTGGAAAAGTATAATTGAAAAGAAAAGTTCATCAGTCTATGATGAAATTAACATTTCCTTTAACTCTGATTCTACCTTCCTTCTTGAGCAATGTTTTGCATGCTATAGATAAATGATCAGACTCGAAGCAGCAATGAAAAAGATGAATAAAAGAAAACTGTTGCAGCTACTATCTCGACTGTGGAACGGACCTGGTAGTGTACTTGTAGGTAAGCAAGCTGAGCAAAAAATGATATCCATTCTGAGGAACAGGTTTCCTGAAGCGGTGCTGATAGAAGTGACTGATGTGTCAGGTAAGAATTATTCCATATTGTAAGAAAAACTTTTTCAAAAAATATTGCAGTAAGGAAATATAAAAATGACATTAACTATGTATTACATGTTGTATAAATCTGTTGTAATTGCAATTACGTTTATTTAATTAATTAAATAGTTAATTTGCTTTAGGAGGATGTGGTGCTATGTTTGATATAAATGTAGTCGCTCCAGAATTCAAAGGACTAAACACTGTGAAACAGCATCGAATCATTAATGAGGTAATTAACGATTATTTTTTAAAGAAGCCAACAGCTGTATTCGAATCAATTGGCAATTTTTGCAGGTCCTGAAAGAAGAAATCAAAGATATGCACGGTATTCGAATACGTACGAGTCTTCCACAACCATAAATTATACCATGAACAATTGCGCTTGTGTCGTTAGTTTTACAGAAGTGACAACCAATATTGGTGTTCTTCACCTGAGCTGGAAATCGAAACTGGAGATCCATGTAATGTATGTTTCATCATAAGATAATAAATTTTATAAGATATTATAAAGGAAAACTTCAAATCTAGTATGTCTCATTTTTTATGGAAGGGATGTGATCAGTTTATGTTATAGCATCATAATTCAACCACAAAAAGCGTTACTGTAAAGTCGATTCAAATACATCATGAAGAGCACAATGCTAGTTAATACTGCGATATTTTAAGATTAGAGAAAGATTTTATCTATAATGGAAAAGGGAAAGAGGTAAGAGAACTTTATGTTTAACATATGTTTTTATAGCTATGAGAAAGAGTGCACATTCAGAATGCTTTACCTTCATTTCAGTAATTTGCATAGAATATATTGCATATTATAATATTTATTAAATAATTAATATATGTATAGAACATATATAATACTATGCATAGGAATTACTGTAAATGTTAATAAAATATATTTGTATGTGTCATGTGAGTGAAAATGCATTATAAGTGTAAACATTATGAATAATGTAAAAAGACCTGTACTAGTCAAAGGCAAAACTTATGCCTTGGTTAATATATGTATTTTCAATAGATACAAGTTATTGTTGCATTCGTGTCAAATAAAAAAGTTATTTCAGGAACAATAAAGATTGAAAAATGCGATAACATCGATAACGTACTCTCCGAACTCTAAGTGCCTAAAGCAAACATGCCCTTTATAAATATATTGACTGCGTTCATTTTGGACTAGAGCTCCTAAATATTCGAATAAGTAACTATCCGAGTATCTAACATCGGTTCCAATCTGACATTTTAAAACCGAATTATTCGGGTATCCGCGGATCCGCGTATCTTATGAGATATACAAACAGTTGAAGCGTCGAATCCGGATCCGAATCTATATATCGATTTATTAATTGTAAAATGTTCAAAAGAGATCTCAGTTGCTACCCAGACAGTATAAGCTGTAAAAACTATACATAAGATGACTTTAAGATGCCTCTTAGTCATCTTTATAATACATCTTTTAGAGATGTCATAAACATAACTAAAAGACATCTAAGGCTCTGCTATCTCGCCATATGCTATCTCGTTGATATGCATTGTCAATATTAAGATTATCTAATAGAAAGTTACTATTTAGTACGCGTATCAAGTGCATGATGTAAACCAGGCCATTGTTGTCGGTTCCTTCAGTAACTAAAGGGACGTCTACATTGGAAGTAAATAGCAAAAAGTAGGAAGTAAGAGTAAGAAATTGACCAACCACAGTCGAATGTGAGAAGAATAATCAACTATGATTGGTCAATTTCTTATTCTTACTTCCTACTTCTTACTGCTTACTTCCAATGTAGACGTCCCTTAACAGTCACGATTCACGCTTACTGAGAAACGATACACCAGGGGGTCGATTGTGTATCTCGTAATGGAGTGAAAATTACAAAAGTGAACAATTCACTAGGCATTGACCAATGAAGTTACAAATATTCTAGTAAATTTGCTCACTTTTATCATTTTCACTCTGTTTTGAGATACACAATCGACCCCCAGATCGAAAAAGTCAAATTTTCTAGATCCCGGAAGTATGAAGGCATTTACGAATCCTAGTGTACGATAATTCGGAAGTTTAAGGCTGAGTTCCCACTTAGCGCGTCACGCGTCGCGTCGTCCGTCGCGGACCAATCAAATCGTCCTATTTTATTGCCTAATTTTACGACGAATAAAATGGGACGATTTGATTGGTCCGTGAAAGGCGACGCAACGCGTGACGTGCTAAGTGGAAACGCACCTTAAAAAAGTTTATAAATTGCAGGTAAAGTTCACGCTTTGCTATATTATTTACAGTTCTGTTATGTGAAGACCATTCTTCGGATTATAACTGTTGTTTTATTTGAATGTAAAGATAAGTGCTTTGAAAATGTTCGCTTATTTTTGTAAACCAGCGAGAGTCATTCTCAGTAATGGGTATGCTATTTAATTATGTTATGATATTTAACTGTATTATTAACCATTATTAACAAACTGTTCTATTATTTATAAACACAAAATGTAACTGTTATACAACATAGAAGTAATTGCTTTTATATCCCAGTAAACATCTGTTAATAAACATCTGTTAATAAACATCTGTTAAGAAACATCTGTTAGCAATCTGATAATAAATTGACAACAGGTTCATAGTCATCTGTGTTTGTAATCTACTATTATTCTGTCGACAGAACCTGCTAACAGAATTTAATAACTGATTGATGACAGAAAGCGAACAAAATCTGCAGTATTTCTATTTAAGGTAATTATACAATTTACACTCACTTCCGATTTTAATGAAAAAAATGACGCGTTTTTTAAAGGCAAACAACTTTTCTATTTGGAAAAATCATCGCTCTCTACTGCGAAGTGAAATATTAATTGACGAAGTTGATTACTATTAAGGTTAGGAAAACTGTCATACCGACGATATATAGCGTCATAGACGTGCCTCGTGAGCGAACTGAGGCTGTATATTGTCGTATGATAGTTTTCCTAACCTTAATACTAATCAATTTTTCTAACCTTAGTACTAATGACTTTGTCAATTAATTTCTCACTTCGCGGGGCAGTTTATTTCTGTCAAATTCTTATTCTACATGCAAAAACGCGTCGATTGAATATATTTTCATCGATACTGGAGATGATGTGTGTAAACTGAATAATTACCTAATCTTAATAGTGCTCAACTTTGTCAATTAATATTTTGCTTCGCAGTAGAGAGCGATGATTTTTCCAAATAGAAAAGTTGTTTGCCTTTAAAAAACGCGTTGATTAAATATTTTTTCGTCAAAATCGAAGGTGAAGAGTGTAAACTGTATAATTACCTCATTTAAAAACATTGGAATGACAGATCCTATTTGATTTCTGTTGTCTGTCATTATACTCCGTCATAAGATCTTGTTGTATTTTTATTAGCAAGTTGACAGAGTTTGCTGCAAACACTAAAATTTACTTTTGCAGGTTTGACTATTTGGGATGTTATTAATATTATTTAATTTCTTTTTATAACTATGTTGTTTATGAAGTTGTGCATGATAAAGATACATGATTTCGTTAACTATAAAGACTTCAATTTTAATGAAGCATTTTGTAAGGGTTTATTGTGGTCATTTTGATGCATATAGTATGTATTCTTTTTACACTTTTTACGTTACAGATGTATCATTTGCAGTTACAGACAATTTTGTAGCATATTATCGGCTCCGATATGAAAATTGATCACTGATTAATCACATATGGGAACACGTACGAAAAAATATAGCTTTTACAGTCAACGAAATTATGTATGTACCGTGCACGGCTTCATGCACAACTTTATAAATCAGACATGCGATCGAGTCGCACATTTCGGCTAATTTTATTGATTGACATCTGCCTACTCCACTTGTTTCGTAGCATCGTGGCTATTGACGGAGACGTAAGATATTCGAGTGTCAGAGACGAATTTGTTATGAATCGTATAGAGTTTTAGCGCATATTGCCCCGCGCTTCATTCACTGCTTAAGCTGGCCACACACTTTCCGCAACAGTAACCATAAGACGTAATGCAAGAATTGACCAATTACGATCGAATATTCACAAAAATGGCGACCTTACAATTCGACGATTCTTAAGGCCTTTGCACGTAGAAAAATTTTAATCGTAATCACAGTCGATTATTCCTCAAACGCAGAGAGAATAATCAACTCTGATTGGTCAGTTTTCTTACGACCTTACGGTTACGGTTAAAATTTTTCTACGTGCAAGGGCCTTTAACATGATTGGTCTTACGTTACGTCTTACGGTTACTGTTACGTAAAGTGTGTGTAGCCAGCTTTACAATGTTATTGCTTTCAGCATATCTAAATGCAACAATATTCATATCATTGAAATCGATTGTAGACGTAAAAAAATAAGAGAAACAAATTTCTTTATTATCATTAATATTAATTACATTCTATGTCTTTGATATACATTTTTTTTTTCTTGCTTTCACATTTCTTATCACTAATAATACCTCAAATTTGACCGAAGTATATACATTAGTGAAGATTACTTAATACGCATGCACGACTTTATTGTCACTACGGGCGAGATTTTTTATTCATCGATAGATCCATCACATGATGCGCAAATACAGCGAAATACTGTATTTGCGCACCATGGATCCATCGATGAATTAAAAAACTCGCCCTACTTGATATCACTGCAATTAGGTGCTACGAAACAAGAGAAGTAGAGATGGCAATCAACAAAATCATTTGAAATGTGCAACTTTGTCGTATACCTGTCATAAATGTACGAAATTATTAATACCCTAACAGCACAGATGTCCAGGAGACATCCAGAATACATCCTAAGCAAGTCCTGAGGAGATCTTGTGTTGTCTGAGTACAATCAAGGGTCGTGTGCTTAATATAATAGTTGTTATATGTTATTAAAGTTATATAAAATATCATCTCTTTTATAAATGTAATGTAACTGTGTTTTAAAACTATTATAACTCTGTTATTTACTGACGGTATATCAGTTATTAAACGGTATATTATATAACAATTTTAACAGATTATATAAAATATAAGTATATTATTTATATTATATCTCCCAGATAGTCAAACCTGCGCGAACAGATTTCGAGCAGAGTTTGCTATCAACTTTTGACGGCAAATAGATAACAAATTTGATGCAGGATCTGTTATATCAAATCTTGCTGCCAAATTACCGCCAGATATGGGGCAGAGCTTGTTGCCGGATAATTGCTGCAGATTTGCAGCAAAAACCGCGCAGAGCTTGTAGCGATTTGACGGCAGATTGGCGGCAGAAACCGCGCAGCCTTGCTGTGCTGCAAGCTTTGTGCGGTTTTTGCTGCAAATTGGGCACCAATTGCCCCACAGCAAGATCTGTTGCCAAAACCGTAGCCTAATGTAGACACAAATGGCTATGGTTTTGCTATGGATTTTTTATCAAATTTGCTGCCAATCTGCGTGCAGTCTGCGCTCAATTTGCTTACTGGGCTATTTTATGTAACATTTTTAACAGATTATATAACAAGTGTATTATTTACATTATATCTATTTTATGTAACATTTTTATATCTAGATGTCGAATTAGATAGCTCTCATTTTTTTCGTGCATTTCTCGTATATAAAGTATGATACGTCACATATTGATAAACATATTATTTTCACAAAAAACTGACGTAAATTTGATCAATATTTGATCAAAATGACGTCAGATTGATATTATTTTGACTGTCTGTTCTACTTGGGAATTCCTTCAATTGAAATGTTTATAAAAGAGATGGGAATAAATAAATGACAATATAAAATGCCCTGACAGCATAAAATGCCTGAGAACATGCTGGGGCATTGTCCAGACGTTTAGAGTAACTCTAGGATGATTCTGGTAGAGTTAGGAACGTTACTTCAAAAAAGTAATGCGTTACAATTACCGTTACTTTTCGTAAAAAGTAACTCGTTATTGTTACTAAGAAAATAACGATGTTTGTTACTTTTTCGTTAATTTTTTATAACACTAAAATAAAATACGTAATTTATTTTAAACTGACATTGTTTTTAAGCTTATATTATTATTTTTGTGCAGTTTATTTAAAGAAAAACAAACCATTTAAAACTGCAATAATTCTGATTCGAAGAAGTAATATTTCTTTAATGGCTTGATTTTATCTCCTTATTTTTTACTATTCTTCAAACAAAAATTATCGATACAGAGCCAGATTTTGCAGTTCGGGGGAACGGGAGCTCTTAAAAATTTTTAATAAATTTAATAATAAGTATACTTAGTGTGTAATATACACACACACTTGTTCTATATTTTCTTACAAAAATGAACTACACTAAGCATATGTATTATTAAATTTATAACAAATTGTTGACAGCTCTAAATTGCAAAATGTTGCACTAATAATCCAATGTTGCACTAATAATCATTTTTACATGAAAAATAAAATAAACTCACGTATTTTCTTCTAGCGAGTATCAAGATTTTGTTATCTAATCAAGAATACTTAATACACGCTATCAGCGCACAACCTATTGCGCATCATCTATTGAACAGAGATAACTAAATAACGACAAAAGTAACAGTTGAAATCGTTACTGTTACCGTTACCGTTACAAACAGAGAGAAGTAACGATCGTTACTGAAAAAAAATAACGGTAACGGTAACGGCATTACAAATAACGCGTTACTTCCCAATTCTGGATTCTGGAATATCTTGTGTTATTTTAGAGCTAATCAATTTAGAATGCTTATATTATTAAATAAATATTTATATTATAAAATAATTATATTATTGTCTATATTGTAAAATATTTATATTATTGTCTTTACTAAAAATATCACTTTCGATATGAAATAATGGTACTTTTGAAAACATACTTGTACAAATTAACTGAAATTTGAGTGATAGCTTTTAATTGTCAAAATAAAATTAAGTACCTATAATTGTTAGGAAAGAAATAATTTATATTTCAGCTATATAACATTTCAGCAATCAATATAGCAGCTATATATTTAGTATAGTTACTATATATTTCTGTTATATAAGTACAATATCTGATACAATATTGAGTAGGAAAATACAATTAATGTATGTTACATGTAATGAACCCAGACAACATAATATCTAAAATCGGGACATAAGACGTCTTAAAGATAATCTTTAAGACGCCTTAAAGACAATTACTCGTAAATCGTCTGAAAGACATTTTAAAGATGATCTTTAAGACGTCTTATGTCCCGGTTTTAGACATTATGTTGTCTGGGAACATTATATTGCACATTATATTTTGTTACATTAAAATGATATAACAGTTATATTATTGTGTTTACTAAGATTCTCTGTTTTGATTTACCAGTTATCAAATGCTGATTACTTGTGATCTTATCAACAATTTTTTATCAGATTTTATTGTTTATGCAAATCACTGGAGGAGTGTTTGCCGAATTAAGTATGAGATATATTGGTTGTCTGATTTAATAGATTGACAGAAGAATTCAAATTTACAATGGCCAGATTGATATCAACTGTTAACGTTAAAGATGTCGAACATCTTGCTAAACTAAAAAATAATTGGTGGAATGAAGAAAGCGGCCCAGTGAAACTACTTCATCGATACAATCCAATTAGAGTACAATTTGTGAGAGAAGGTCTTGCCAATATTGGTTTCAAAGAACAGACCCCAAAGTTGCCATTGCAAGGGATTAAGATAGCAGATATTGGCTGTGGTGGAGGTATTCTAACTGAATGTTTGGCTAGAATAGGAGCTCAAGTAACTGGAATAGATCCATCAGAAGAATTGATAAATGTCGCTAAGCAGCATGTAGAATTAGATCCTGATATATCAAACAGAGTAAACTATATTTACACAAGCATAGAAAAATTTTCTGGTGAGAATGAAAAGCTGTATGATGCTGTTATAGCTTCTGAAGTTATAGAACATGTAAATAATCAAGAATTCTTTGTAAAGGTATGATATTGCAATGAAAATCAAACTATTGAGCGTAATTACATCACGAGTTAATAATAAGTATTTATTACAGGAAAGTGTAAAACTTTTGAAGCCTGGTGGATCAATTTTTATAACAACACCAAGTAGAACTCTATGCTCTTGGCTGGGTGGTATTATAATGGCTGAATATGTTATGAATGTAATACCTCGTGGTACACATGATTGGAATAATTTCATTCTTCCACACGAACTTCAACATATATTGGAAAAGAGTAAATTTTTATTTATATAATATATATAACGTTATTTAGAAGTATTCTCTGTATGAAAATACATGAGATAATGAATTCTTAAAAATTGATTATGTAAATCTTCTGCATTTGGCAACGAAACTTTCCTTCAATATCTTTATTTTGTAGATGGTTGTAAGACTAAATTAATTCATGGAATAACACTGAACCCTATAAGCATGCAATGGTCTTGGTCATCCAGCACAGCACTTTGTTATGCTCTTCATGCAGTTAAACAGAAGGAAATCGATACATAACTTTGCCTAATATAAAATATTTGATATATTTCTGTTATATAACTACAATATCTGATACAATATTAAGTAAGAAAATACAATTAACGTATGTTACATGTAATGAACCCAGATAACATAATATCTAAAATCGGGACATAAGACGTCTTAAAGATAATCTTTAAGACGCCTTAAAGACAATTATTCGTAAATCGTCTGAAAGACATTTTAAAGATGATCTTTAAGATGTCTTATGTCCCGATTTTAGACATTATGTTGTCTGGGAACATTATATTGCACATTATATTTTGTTACATTAAAATGATATAAGTTATATTATTGTGTTTACTAAAATTTTCTGTTTTGATTTACCAGTTATTTGATATATACTAAATTGTGTATTGGAATGTATGTACTAAGTAATAATATTGTAAAACTGCTCTTACACACACACACACACACCCAACTACTTTTATTTTTTTTTATATTATTAGCAAGGAATCTTATCATACTATAAAGATATATAAAAATATAATTACAACGTAACTAAATTTTATATAATATATGCAGGGATTAATATTATTAAATAAAATCAGGATATGGTATGAAAAGAATATATAGTTTATTTCAACAAATTCAGTTCCATTCTAACAGCATATCTTTAATGACGTTATAATGTATTATGCTGAAAGAGAATACATTAATTAAACAATAAGTATCGAAACAATACAGATTTTCGTTTTATTTTTCTACATTATCACAAAATTATGTTCAGCAATGTAATTCTGAGATGTTCGTAAGAATTACAAGGCAATAAGTATATATTTGGTCACTATGCTGAATTAATTTTACTTGATTTTTAATTTCGAGACTTTCATATTTTGATGTCTTTTGAACTGCAAACTTTTGGAACAAAATCACTTTACTTCGCCACAGCAAATCCTATTCGGTCATTCTCCATATCGAACTCTGTATAGTAACGGCCGATAAACACGTCACCCAGAATCCATAACGGTCCGTTCGGCGGAGGAATATCCATACCCATGAAGCCACTCATGCACACTGTTTGACCAAGCTGCGTGATCTGCGGAAAATTCAAACATGAGGTGTGAAATCTATTATAATTTTACTGTAAATTATAAATCATGATTTATATTACTTACTTTAAGAATGTAGTCTTTACCAGTGAGAGCGAACTTCTTACCACCTATTGTAAAGTTAATTTCGGGCAATTGTTCAATCAAACTGCAGTCCACCTTTAAGAGTAAAAAAGCATGTAGAATTAGTGGTTTTGAAATTAATAGTTTTTGTGCAATTTAAAATATATAAACTTAAAAATTCCTCTTGTTTGTTGAAAATGTATAATAGAATCTTTATATTAATGAGAAGTACAATTGATTATTTGCTTACTATTGACGCTCCACCTATAATACTGGTAGCTCCGATCGCACTGTTAATATTTGCGACTTCCTCAACTGGTCCAGCTATCAAAGAGGTGCCAGTGTCAGCGATAGCCTGACAACCGGACGCACACAGAGTGTGACCATTTATTTCGATGCTGTGACACGATAATAATATAAACAACTTATACATAAATGCATATCATTTTGGTATACAATTTAAAACATATAAGAACTAAAGAGAGTCAATAAAAATTCAATTTAGTCGTTTAGGTTTTTAAGTATTTTATAGCTATATATGTAAATTTATTGAATTTCTTTAAAAAATATAGTTACATACCTATCCATGCCGAATTGCCAGTATCCTTTACGGCTAACGGGAACATACGTGAACTCGCCTTCGTAATGATCAGGATCAGAACCACCTAACAACATTTCACCGCCCACTTCGGCCTTAGGGTCGCTGTGTGAGTAATGTTTCTTTTATTACAATATGGGAAGGAAATATTTGATTCGGCGAGTTAAACAAATGTAAATGTTTTTAACATTAAATATTTTAATAGTGTAAGAGGAGATACGAACCGATTGAGGTAAAAACTGAAAACAGGTTTCGGCACTAACTCTTGTTTCACCATATTATAGAAGACAGGTGTCACTCCATCGACGGATATTGTGGAGTAACCCATTCCTAATATACCATCGAATTTCGCAGCGACAAAGGTTAAACCTGGTTCCCTGACAGCTTCCGCGAATGTTTGAGTTTGGACATTCAACCCACCAATCTATAAAAATATCTATATCAGTGATTTAATATTGCATGTTAGCTTCTGGCAGTAGTGAAAATGTTATTATATAAAAAACATTCAATAAAGATTTATTATTAAAGCATATTTATTTCTGACTGAATTGTTCTTTTTATTGAATGACTCACATTCACCACATCAGTAGATAAGAAACCAGACAGACTACCAGTTCCATAACGAATAGAGAAGTCAGTACCATTCTTCTGGTACGTGCTAGATTTTCTGCTGTCATACTTGTTATGCAGCACTGTAAATCACAGAATGGAATTGAACTAATAAATAATGAAAGATTTTTCAGGATGAGAATACTTATAATATTTATAATAATCTAGATAAACAATCTATTATTACTTTAATCATCAGACATACTTAGATGAATACATTGCTTTGATTTATAACGTTATCTTAATGTGTCAAAGGTCGTTTATATCTTAAGAGAGAGTGATAAATAGCATAAATAAGTTTACATTGGAATTTGCCTTCATAACATACAGATTGTCAGAATTTTTACTATTTAAATTACATTCGTTTAGTAGTAAAAATATTAAAATTTTTATTTTTAAGTTACATATACAGAATAAAAATACTATAGTGCCAAGATGACTATGATTTGAATTTTTATCTAATATATATAACCAGTCTTGCTTAATTATCTCAAACTAATTATCTCAAATAATTACAATTTTACACAACAAATTTATAATTTTACAGTAACAAATGTTTTAAAAACATGTGTAAATACATAAATAATTAAATATCGGATTTAATAATAAAATATAACAAGATACTTACAGCAAGCAATATTAGTAATCTTGCACTTTTTAGATGGTACCCAGAGATTTGAAGAACCTGTATCAAAAATCACCTTAAATTTTTGTGGTGGAGTTCCAATACTGATTTCGCCAAAGTATTGAGCATCCAGGTAGTTAGACAAAGGTTCTGGTGTAGGAGTAGTAACTCCATACATACGAACTTGCTGCACATCAGTGCCTACTTTCTGCAGAGTGCTTCGAACAGATTCTGTTTTATGTAATTGGATCCTTAAAGAAACATTAAAAGTATTGCATTACATATATGTACACATAAATATAAGTACCTCTACTGGTATGAGCTGTACAATCAATACAAAGAACACTATGAGTCATCCTTTAAAAAAAGATTATACATATTTAAGCTTTGTCTCAGTTTATATGTTATGATACAAGAGAATGTTAAATATATTTCTATATCTAAGATTATATATTAAATATGAAAGTTGTAATTGTAAAACTAAATTAAAATTCTTATAGTGTATTATGATATACTGGTATATTTTTTTCATTTTAAATTGTAAATTTATATATACACAAGATATTTGTTGTCTAAAATATGTATTATTTAAGTAGAGAACCATTCAACAAGGATAGATAATATTCAACTGTTCTATCATTTACGCAGTAAAAAATTTTACACAATCTCTGGGAATAAATATTTGGTACAAGATAGATTTTTAAGATCAAAGCAGAGCAATATAAACCAGCTAAACCAAGAAGCAACACATTATCTATTACAGATTAGGACCAACACACTATCTATTACAGATTAGGACCAACACACTATCTATTACATGTTTGTTTATATTATGGGTAGAGTATAAGATATAGTTATGTATTTGATAAATATACAGTACATCATGTACTCACACAGTATATCATGAATCTTTTTTTTCCAGAATGGATTTTTCTTGATAAAATTTTATCAATTACTGTATAAATATAGAATTTTATATCGTGTAATCTTTAATTTCATATCTAAGTCACATTACTTAGGTTCAAAGATAAATGTTTTATGATAGTTATATTATTTCTTGTGTGACAATTAGACATTTCCTCTTTCTTATCGATAAACGAAAATATACTTTTTCGTACAATTTTCGCGAATGTCCAAAGTATCAGTTATGTTCATATAATTTTCGCGTCGATACGAAGATCGACATAGATGACAACGAATATCAGACTAGTTATTTTGAAAACGTATTGAAACTTGAACAACCGTAACTACGCAAGCCAAAATCACAATTAGTCGAATTCTAGATTTCTAATTTTCGCAATTCTCAATCCCCAACACTTAGCTTGACACGGACTTTTAGTAACTGATTCATAATTGATGTGTCATGCGACATCAATACAAGAATAATTGCTCCACTACTCACCTCTGAAGCTTTGCGTCGGTCAGCACGAAGAGTGCGATGACCGTTACGAGAATGCGGAACATATCTCGTGAGTTCTTCGAAATTAAAAATGCAACAATTACGACGTAATTTAGGCGTCGGGTTTCCGTCCGAACCTGTGCAACCGGAGACGACGAAGCGAAAAGCTGACTGACTACTAGCGCTCTCAACTGCAGCTCACCATTGCTGTTTATCGACGCGCAATGTCGATTATATATACTGTTGCGCGTGCTGCACGCGGTAGGAGAGGGAGACACGGTGGTGGCGCGGCGCGGTGTTCGAATCACGCCGACTGGCCAATCACGCGGCCGCTTTTTTGAGAGTGCACCGGAAACGACGGCGCTGATTGGCGGACAGGATGAAGTACATGTCACCGTGTCAATCGGCCGGCAAGAACGCAGATAAAGAAGCACTTTCTTCATCAATTACAAGCCCAAAAATATCTTTCCGCGTATATTTTTCTTAGCTTGCGCTCTTCCGACGTATAGAAATAGATGGGTGATTAATGAATGAGAAGCGAGCCTGCCTCGTGCATCGGCGAATGCATTGTTTGCGCTGACGAGGCATATGCACGCGAGACCGCACTTTACAAATGACATCGTTAAACTCAAGTAAGACGATGTTCCGCTTGACGACGAGCCGTATCAGCGATGTGCAAGACAAAGTACCATCATTGCTCAAGGTCAAGATATTGCAATTACACGCGGGAATTCGCACTTGTAACGTACGAAAGTTACACTTACGGTTCGGCGATAAATGTAGATTGGATTCACCGCTTATCAAACGTATCGTTTATCACGATTGAAATTTAATGTGGCTAATAGTTCGTCAGGTTCGTCTCGCTGAAGTTACATTCATTTATATATTTTGTTTCTGCATTAAAAATAAATTGGCGCGTATTTACATTGGCGTGTGTTTACATTTTTGGATAAATGGAGAAAAGGAAGGAAAACGCATGAATGCGTCTATCTTCCCTTATAGAAATATCAATACTAAGAATCATTGATAATTACTTATTTTCAGTATTAAAAATACTGGATAATAAGTAATTATCAATGATTCTTAGTATGATATTTCTATAAGGGTTGTAAGCGTCTATTTTGAAAGAAAAACACCAAGACTCATATTCTAAACTCTTTTTTGTCGCTAAAAGTATCTCTAAAAGTAGCCTTAAAAGTCAACCAGAAGACTTATAAGTCTTCTTTTAAAGGCGCTTTTAAAGATAAAAATTCAGAATGTTGATCGCTTTTAAAGATAAATTCAGAATGTGAGTCTAATACTTTCAGTTTTGAAACATTATTTTGTAGATAAATATAGAACATGAACAGTCAAGTATTATTTTCGAAAGATATTTATTATCACATTTAGATAATCAATTTGTTTCTCTTAGAACCTTTGGATCCTTCTTCAACTTTGTACGAGCCTCTTCTACTTTGCATAGACTCGCTCTCTTTATCTATTTTTATTTATAACCCGAGGTCTATTATTTTTAGCCGATACCTCTATACTTTCATTCAGTTCTTGTACGCACGCCTTTTCTCCTCGGCGTTCGATCATAACGCTTGTTTCATTTTGAGAGCAAGTAACGTGACACGTAAAGCAGTTAAATCGTGTAGAACTCGACGCGACAATCGCGCGAGAGCGAGTCGTATTTCTCGAGATGTTAGATTTATTTCTATATTTTCACAGAGGCTCGCGGTTTTGCCGCGCAAGAGTTTTTCCTTGCGCGGCATTTTCATCTGTTCGCGCGTTTCGTTTGTCGTTCGCGCGGTGCATGCCGGGACGATAGAAGACCCTGATAGAAGACCCTGCCGGCCAGCCAATCGCGAGCCGGTGTTGCGCGCGACTTGGCCGCACTACTCGCAGTTCCGAGCCCGATTCGCCGCGGAGTTATCGTTCCTCTCTCTTGGCCCGTAGCAGCCAGCGAAGACAAAATTTCCCCGAGTGTGCAGCAGCGGAAAGCGGCAACAGGAGCAACCGAACGGCAACCACGTCGTTTATCATCCAGTCACGCGTCCATCGTCGCGTCTACGAATCGCCGACGTCGCGAATTGCAACGCGCGCGCTAAATAACGTTGTACTCGCGGCCACTCACGGACCGGAGGGCGAGCCCGTTGTGATCCGCTGGAGATAGTGTCAACGAGACAAGGTAGAGAAAACACAAGATATGCGTGAGCGTCGCGTCACGAAACTCGGTGGAGAGATGCAGAGGTACTCGATTACAGGGTCGTCGTCGTTACCGCGGTAGCGGCGGCGGCCACCAAAGCACAGTTCCTCTCGCCGGGATCCGTCCGAACGTGCTCCGGTTTTATGTCAAATGCAGCTCCGGAGATGCTCCGTCGGAGACGACGACGCCAACGAGCACCGTCGTCGTCTTCGTCTTCCTCGTCGTTGTCGCCGCCGCCGCCGCCGCCGCCGCCGCCGTCGTTACCGTCATCGTCGTCGTCGTCGGCTCGATGAGCGGCATCGTTGCGGCGACCCACTTTCGCGCGGCTCCGCGCTCTCGCGTGCCGGCCGAATTAGCATTTTCTTTATTGTCTCATATCGACAAAACATCGTCCTCCCGCGTTTCGCCCCCTTTAACCGTGTGCTCGTTTCTGTCCTACTCTCACTTTCTTTCTCTCTCTTCTGCCTTCTCCCTCCCCATCTTTCTGTTTCTTTCTCAATCTTCTTGCTGTATCTGTGTCTCGTGCTGTCTCTCGCTCTCTTTGTCTCTCCTGTTCCCTATTTGTGCCTCACACCGATATTCGCGGCAGTGATAAAATTCTCTCACTCTTTCATCCTTTCTCTTTCTCTCTCTGTCTTTTACCCCCGACCCCCTCCACCTCCATTTGTACGTCTGTCCTTGTCTTGCTTAGAGCTAGCGCTGCATGCACATAACTAACGCCGTATTATCATGCCGGCGTTGGACGTACACGCTACTGTCAAAGTTGTGCGCTTTCCGCGGTCCAGGTTTATCCGTTCGATTTCAATCGCATTTTTTAATAGTGTACGCGTGATCGCGTTGCATTGGCGAGGTCCGCGTCAATATGTTATTAATTAGCGCGTTTCACCTTCGTGGCATTTAACTCCGATTGGCTCTAAACGCCGATAATGTCATTTATAAATAAGTCGTTTATTTTGAAAGTGATATGAATCTAGACAAAAGAGGCACATCACATTGGTTTATATTTACGTTTTATTTAAGTCGCACTACTTTTAAATTGTCCACTTTGACGATTCTCTGTATGTGTACGTAGCTGTGTGTCTACAAATATACAGTTCCTGTCGTGATCTCGCTAAAGCGTACTTGACTCGTGTTTCTTGTGATATTCACATTAAAAATGTACTTCATTGCATGATAATAGTGGACAGTGTGATTGTGATTTTCTTTGTGTTCTAGGGTAGAAAAAATGTCGGACCGAAAGGCTGTAATCAAGAATGCTGACATGTCAGAAGAGATGCAGCAGGATGCTGTTGACTGTGCTACTCAAGCACTTGAAAAATATAATATAGAAAAGGTATATTTTTTAAATCTTATATATCATAAATGTATTAGATAACTTATTTTGTAACTATTATACAAGCACATTCTCAGAATGTGTAAAACATAATCAAAGTATGTGTGTATATATATATATATATATATATATATATACACACATATATAGGTGGGTATATTTAGTTTTTTTTCTACTGTTTTAGGTATATTAGTTAGATATATTATTTAGGTTTTAGTTTTTTCTCCATTATGTCTTATCCAATGACAATGATAATACAAATCATATTTTATGGACACCAAACTATAATTGAATATCCTTAAAATTTGATTTAAATGGTCCATTGGAGTCTAGATAATTTGTATCAAGCATGTAATGTATGTTAAAATGTTGTATTTAATTAGTTATACTTTGGTAAGAAACTATAATTGCATGTGTGGGTATACACATATATAATCTAAGGAGAATTTACATATAATAGTAATGTTAAGTATTGATTATTATTGATAAATATTTGTACGTTAAGTATTGATTTGTTAAGTATTGATATAATATTGAAATATCAACCCATTTTATTAAAATATAATAATATAAGATAGAGCTTTAATTAAAAGTAAATAGCATTAAGAATCAATTCCACAATTTACTTTAATTTAACTTGTTAAAGACTTATACAAACTTGCATTATTCATATTCACAAGAAAATAACTAATCTAATGTAAAATGTATCTAAAAAGAATTCTTTTACTGTACAAATCATGATTAGTTGATTTTCTGATGAATATGCAATATATAATTATGCAAGTTTGTCTGGATAGGCTTTTAAATAAATTAAATTCCAGTTAAAATAAGTTATGGAATCAGGCTTTAAGCATAATTATTGAAACTGTAAAAATTTGTTCTTCCAAACTTTTTATTCCTTATGTAAATTATGAAGTATATCTGGTGAAATTGTTAGATCAATATCATTATTGATTTTACCATTAATATTGTATATTCTTATCAGCTATATTGATATTGGCCTTTTTCAGGATATTGCAGCATATATCAAGAAAGAGTTTGATAAGAAGTACAACCCGACGTGGCATTGCATTGTAGGTCGTAATTTTGGTAGCTATGTGACGCACGAAACAAGACATTTTATCTATTTCTATCTGGGTCAGGTAGCGATTCTTCTGTTTAAGAGCGGATAAGCTGATTTCTATTGTCTATTCTCCATCCTTCCTTTTCTCCTCTCCTTCCCCTGTCCTTTCTCCCATCCTTTTTTCCCTCGCTCACTGCGCAAGAAGAAAAGTACATTTAAAAATCACTACATCATGTGTAAAAGGACCTTCAGTATGTGTATGTATACATAACAAAAATTCCTTTTAAAACTAATGCATGCGCCCGATAAATGAGCGACAAAAGAAATGTGAACGTTTCCGACTTAAATATTGTTCATCGTTATATAAGTGGGAGATAACACGGATAAATTCTGTGAAGTAACTCCTTAGGGTAGGGAGATGAACTGGAAAATGAAAAAAAGAAAAAAAAATGAAGAAGATGACATACAACCTTACATGTTAAAATGTACTTTGTATGCCAACAAGTTTGTTGTGTTCTTGTTTTATATTAGGTAAATATGCAAAACGGTTGAGTTCAATACTGGCGATTTTAAATTAGCAAATTTTAGTGTAATTGTTTAATAATAGTGTTCAAGAACACTAAGTGCACTATATATATATATATATAAATTTATATATATATATATACATATATATATATATAAATCATATACTCTCTTCGCGTTAGGTGGATTTGCAAGTGAAATATTTTGCTTGATTCTCTACGTAAATGCGAGAGTATACAGTATCCAATAAGGTAATCGCCAATAATGAATGTAACCCCGCTCGTAATTGATTGCGACCGTTATTTTATATTATTTTTTGAAAAACCGTCATCGTCCCTTATGTACTACGCATCGATTATAACTGGTTCTACGTATTTACTTTAGTATGACATCTTCGGTTAGTTTAAGGACTTTCAAAATGACCGAAAGAAGGAAAACGAAAGCTCAATATCTCGACGTACGATATCGTCGTATACGTAATACTCTAACAACTTTATTTCGATATAAAACGAATATGCTATTGAATAACGACATACGACTAGTTCATTGCTACCTTCACAATTTTTTATATTGTGCACAGAGACTATGCAAGAAGTTTTATCTCAAGGCGATGTATACTTAGGGGAGAAAAGTATTCGTTTCCAGAAAGAGAGAAAGAGAGAGAAAGATATCATCTTTCTGCCCGTTTAAATTCTATCTTTTATGTAATATTCAACACTCCATATTATGGTACTTATACATACATATATAATAAAAATACATATATAGATTATACATTATATAATATACTATTTATATATAGTGCAATCTTTCAAACGATTTTTCATGCAGCATTTGATTATCGTAAACGTTGCTACATTGTTCAAATTTTAGACTGACTATTAAATATTATCAAAAGTACTACCAGCGTGCATGATCTTTTTTTCGCAGCAACAGCTCGCAATGCCACTTTTTATAAGCAGCGAACACGCAATTTAAACAGTCAAATTGCTCGAAGTTAGATTCATGATAAATTGAAAGAAAATTTAAAAGAAAAACAAAAATCGAATCCTGTACCGAAGATCGACTGAAAATACCTGAACTGACATGTTAATGTCTTACGTTTCTTTTTTTTTTTTTTTATTTATTTATTGTTGTGTATATACGTATATATATATATAGATATATTTCAGCGATTTTATTGAGACATAAAAATTACATATATAAATAGTAACAGAGAATGATGATTTGTACCTTTACGGTGTTACACACTATGATGATGATGATTATGATGATGATGATGATGATGATGTATATTATGCTTTCGCCGTACTTGCTACATGAGATCGGTTCAAGAAGCACCGCTAAATAAGCTCGGAATTAAATCGTCGGTAGCTGTTAAAATGCCTATTGTACTTCGTACGTTATATATATACACACACACACACACATATATATATATATATATACATCCCGAGGTGCCGAGCGAATGATGTGTTAGGCGGCGGTAATTCATATTCGCTTGTTTCGCCGAGACTTCAGGACCAGCTTCCGACGCGCTTTCTCAAACCAAAATAGTGCGAGGTACTACCGGAAATGAAATAAAACTATTTTTCGTATAACCCGAAGATGCACACAAGCTGATAAGCGAGAAACGAATGCAGTCAGCATGACAACATTCGTATTTCATTAGGGATCGAGCTTCCTCGGTGGGAATTCGTTCCGCACCACCGAGAGACATTTCGAGAGATATCTTCGCGATCGAATAACATGCAGAAGATGCGGTAAAAGCAGACTATTATTGTGCTTAACAATAAAAATGAATTCCACATGAAACGATGCATTTTACCCTTCTCTGCGTAACTTTCTATTGCGTCGAATGTATAACGTACGATGTAAAAGCGAGGCTACTGCGGTGAGCGATATTGAATATTACGAGGTTGAATTTTGTTCAAAAATTGCGACGCTAAAATAGGGAGAGAGTAGCATGAGTTGCGGTCGAGAATACATATATACACACATGCATGTATACACGCTCACACGTATACGGTATTGCGAAGAGAACATCAATAACGCGTTCTCGATAAAATTCAACCTTGTGACTTGCAATACACGGAGTAGCTAACTAAGTAATTACCTGTTATATTTCGCATCATTTGTGTAACTTTGTTGAACTCGTTTATCTTGTTTCCCCGTATAGAAACTATAAATAGTTATGTTTCTGCTATGCCGTACGTACATTCGTGCACGTATGGGTGATGTTGCGCGAATACGTATGCGAAAGTCGATATTTGCACTTCCTATTTTGGCTTCCTAATAAGAATTGCTTTTTTATCGTTACTATGTAAGATTCCTTCATTTCATTCATCATGTTATAATTAATAACGTGATATATTTATTAGTATCTGCATTTTGACTTTTTATCATTGCATTATTTAAACACAATTACATATTAATCAGTTTATAGAGTTACTTACAAATTAACGAATAAGTATCCTACAGAAAATTCCACTTAGGAACTATTAAGTATTTTCAACGTCTTAAGTCTACGCTAATTATTCCTAAAAATTAAGTATCGGGTTAACAAAAATCATCGGTAATATTAGACTGGTACTGAGACGCGACTTATTTATACAACTGTTATTCTATATTACATTTATATTAGCCTCTATCTAGCCTCTATCTAGCCTCTTTTACTTCTAAGTAGACCTTCATTTGATTGCATTTGATATTGCAATAAAATTTTTTTTTTTCAAAAACGCGGTTACATAAAGTATAACTATTAATTTATTCATTATAAATACCGTCGCGATCTCTTTGGCTAATAATATCTCTAAGGAAGAAGTATCTAATTATGCGAGGATTAATAAGAAATTTGACGAAAAATTTAATTTAGCAGATAAAAACCGACTACAATCTGAATGTAGATATAAGCACGCAAACATTGAAGTCAACTCGATCATTACATTCTATATTCGCTTCAATGTTATTTTCAAGACGCGCTTTAAATTTGAACTGTACAATTGCACTGTCTCGATAATCGTATAAACAATACATGCATTCGTGAACATCTTGGAATAGAGTAAACGAATGAGCGAAAACGTAGCGGTAACGTAGAAACATTTTTTTCGATACATTCACTATCACCGTACAAAAATCAGTCTTTTGTAAAAAACAAGTCTTTTGTTGATCTTTGCTTCTTTTAGCCCTCGCTTTCGGTCCATTGTATGGATGCTGCGGCTCAATTCTTGAAGCGCGTCATTAAGCTCAGTATTTTGTCGTACAAAAGCGTATTCACGTCCTTAGCCCACATATAGTCCAAGTGATTAAATCCGTCATGCGGCACTCGGAATTTGGCGAAAGGCTTGCCTAACTCGTTGTATAATTGATCGACATCCTGCGAGAGAAACAATGTAATGTAAGTGTGGTGAAAACATCGGCGCAATTAGAATAATATTATACACAGATCCATTTAATTCGGACGTCTTGTGTGGGTATTTTTCAGGATATATTCAATCTTCTAACAAAAAATGTTTAATATATAAGCTTGCACGGGGCTGGATAGTTATAATCTGTCTTGCTGTCTTATTCTCCCTCTTTTCTCCTTTGGCAAGATATCGTACAAGCTCGTATCTTTTTATCTTTATACAATTTACATTCCGAAAAATGTATCCGAGAGAGAAGAGCCCAAAATATTCGCGATAAAGAGAATTTTAGTATATTTACAAAAATATTCATATGTAAGAGGATATATTATAATCTTTCGGCTTTTGAAATTCCCATTATCACTGAACATTATTATTAAGACTCTCGGATACTCGCATCGTCTATCTTTTTTTAATAACGTTAGAAGAGCGAGGAAACGTGTTAAAAATTCTTGTGAAATATGTCGAGATAAAGAGATATATCTATAAAATGACATTTGCAATTGATTAAGCTCACCTTTAAAATATTCCGAACACTTTCCTATATTGCTCTAACAATAAATAAATAATCATAAAATTAACGTGACACGTAAATTTCCTTTTTAACCTAATTTTCTCATTATTCTGTCATTAATTTTATGTTTACTGATTGTTAGAACAGAAAAGTGTACAGAATATTTTAGAGATACGCTTCATCAATCGCAAGTATCATTTTGTGAATATTTCTTTTTACCTCGACGTATTTCGCAAGAATTTTTAACATGCGTTTTCTCGCTTCTGACGTCATTAAAAAAGAGATGGATGATGCAAGTATCCAGGAGCCTTAAACTGAGAATTTCACTATCGCGATGAACGATGAGAATTGGTTCTTTTTTTCGAGGTGCAGGATTCATTGACGTTGTTCGAGTGTTAAAACGAATGGACCACACTGTGTATACAAAAAAATACAAACCCTGACGTCCGATAACCAGTCGTTGGAGCTGTAATGTAGCGCAATTGGCACTCGGATTTTACTTAGATCATATTTCGGTGGAAAGATACTATTGTAGATGCCTAAGTTACCGAAAAATCCATAATCGAACTGCTGGAATTTGCCTAATGAAGAAACGAACTTATTACATTGTGTTATTACATTGTTTTTTTTTATTTTCGAGAGAAAAGAAATAGATTTATCGGATCAATAGATAGAAATAGATTTATCGGAAGAAATAGATTTATAGAATCACGGTTACTATGCTATCTTTGCAGAAATAGAACGCCTATAAGAATGGACGTTAGCGAGTGAGCGAGTACTTACCGGACGTGATGAGTTGCGCGTAGTGTACAAATTGCTTTGTACTTGCACCAGCGGGAACGTGTCCCAAGATTGTCGGCAAAAGAGTCTGCAAAAGTGACAGTAACACTTAGTATATATGCAGACTTAGAAGTATATATAGGATGTTCCGTAATACGCTGAATAATTATAACTCTATGAATTAACGAACGATAGTACTCACTAAAAAAATTTAAAAAAATATATATAACAAATTTTACAATCAATTGTCAAAATTAATGATACGGCCGAACAATAGCCGCGATATTATTCGGCAATTTTTATGTTATGTTAAGAGCAACAGGATTGGGAATGTTTGAAAGTAATTCATCTCAGACGTTCTTAAAATATCTTTAGGATATTCGGAGAATATGCGGAGATTTATGCTGTTTGGAATTGCTGCTATCGTTTTCAAGAAGTAACGAGTTATAGTTTCTGTTATTTTTTCCACCAAGTTTTGCGAACTTTCTTATCATGATTTCCTACCATTCGTCCCGCACACACACACACACGCGCGCGCGCGTGTGTGTGTGTATATATATATATATATATATATATAATATAATAACTTCTTATATTCTACACTTCTTATATTCTACACGTAAAATAGCAATGAAAGAAGCAATTATTTTCATTACTGTTAGTATTACTAACAAAACAAAAAATGAAGGAGATAACATCAAATTACAACTGAAAAAAAATAACTTATGAAAATAACGAAACTTCCCAAGCCTGCGTAATATTGATAATATCACTAATTGTGTTGAATAACACAATAATCATAACAATTAGTACTTGAATAGAATGTCATTGCAATATTTTAAACAACACAACGACGATAACGTCGATATCGTACCTTATTGAGTTGATCACGATCGTATCCAGCGATTAGGAAAAGCACATTCGAGCAGATTGGTTGCATGATAGCGCCCTCCACACATATTAGTTCCTGAAATCTTTTCATGCCTTCGCTCGTAGGCTCGAATTCATATTGCCCGATTAATTTTGCCACTAACTGCAACGGTTATTTTAAATATTATTATTTTGTATGTATACGTGTGCATTAAGAAACCGTCCGAGATCGCCGGTTTATCCTGGAGATTCGGCGGGCTACGTACGTCAATCGGCGTGATGAATCTCGCCAACAACTGGAAAATAGGACTCGTCATCCTGGAGCTATAAGCCACTGGAGCCATGGCGAACATTGCGTGGATTTTGTCCTGGTATTCGGGCAGCTGCGTTGACATGACGAAGAAGCTAGTGGTGCCTTGGCTGTGCCCCAAATAGAACAGCTTCTCGCGGCCAGTAGTCTTCAGAATATAATCTATCATCGCCGGGAGATCGATTGTACCGATTTCATGCCAACTGCAAAAGTAAAGACTCGCATGAATTATGCTTATTCCAGCGAGTAATGAATTTATGCCACGGAACACATTTTAATAAATGTGTTACCATTAAAGAAAAGAAGCTAAATTCGGGATTGAAATCACGGGCTACTTTGAGAAAGCAACTTTTACAACTTTAGTTAAATTGCAAGATGTTAATGGCTGTTGGCAACATTAAATGTTATTTTTATTTACGACAATAGTCTGTTATTTCTTTTCTCCTCCCCCCCCCTCTTTCTCTCGGATTAGATTCTAATTAAGCTACAATTAATCGGTAAATATTTAAAGTAGATATGTTTAAATGTGATACCGAGGCTGTGAATAAACGTTATTAGACAACATCTATACGCTCGTTAAGTACCAACGAAAGGAGAATCTGCTTTTATCGATATTTATTTGAGCTATATTAATATATCCTTGCAATGACACCTTTTCGATTAGTCATACGAATTCCAGTCTTGATGCAATATGTTTTGTATAATGTTGTCTAAAAATTGAGATAACGTCAATAATTCCTGAAATTCAATAACTTTAATAACTTTAATGACGTTGATATCACGGTGTACGATGTTGTCTATTTGTTTTTAAGTTGTTTTGTATTTGAGATATTCACCCTAGCATTATCTATGTTATCATATCCCAAATAATGATTTTAATCGCGATCAAAACAGATAAATAGGAAAGATTGAACGATTAAATTTTTTTCAATTGTGATTACATGAGATAATATTAATTGCCAATGAAAACGCTGATTTTTTGTTATAGATACAATGCAATAACTACAAATCAAAACAGTATGACTCGAGCCCCTCGCAAGTATTTGTCAGTGCGATTGTGCTTGCATGTGTTATTTGCAACTATGCGACTAGAAATTTCGCAAGTTGCTTGCGATGAATCACCTAATAAAAAACAATAGTAAGAATTAAAACAAAAAATTGCCAAACGGTTAAAGATTCTACATATTATATTGGAGAGAAAGAAATACACTTCACAAGTTATATTATTTTTATCGATAGACTCAATTAGATCTTATCGTGCTCAATTAGGTATTATCGTACTACTACTATTGCTTCATATTAATTTAATATCTACTGGGGGTACCGTAAATATACTTGTCATGATTGTCTTATTGCTATCGTGATGTTATCGCGATATGTTATGTCCTGAGATATGATTATTCGTATACGAAAAATAAATAATAAATGTCAGCTGTGCTCATCACTCTGTCCCTTTTATTGAGACGTAATAAGATTGAAGCGTATTCAAAGATAAGATTGCAAATATTGATTGAAGTAAATCTCGAGAGACGTCGAATTAAAGCTTTAAACGCGCGCTTCGTATCCATGTTTGTTGCGTCTTATTTTCAGTATCTACAACGTACATGTTAATCCAAATAATACGTGTTAATTAAATAAATATTAAAAAAATATAAAAACATGTGTACGTGCGTGTGTATATGTTACAAATACATATGTGTATTGTATGTAATATATATAACATTGTGTTGAATGTTAAAAACCTCACCTGAAATTCCAATAATCCTTCTTTGCGATCGATGGGTTTATGTGTTTGCGGGAGTACATACTGCCACGTACATTGCCAAGCCACACGTCGTACCCAGCGTCCGACAAAACGAATCCTGAAATATCCGAAATAAAAATACGAAATATCTGTGATAATGCGAAGATGAGTTCTTGTGAACGCGCCACGGTGCGATAATCGCATTGTCAGTTTTGATCAGCGAAAATAATGCATTAAACACTGAATTTGTATCGCTTCATCAATCAATCAATTAATAATTCAGTCAGTTGAAATAAGAAAAAAAAACATAAATTTCTAATGAACACGTCAATGATGCCCGTGCAGTCAGTGATGTCAGTGGGGAAATTAAATTAATTTAATTTAAACAGTTTGCTTAGCGAATAATTGCACTCGCGAATAATTTTTGCAACAGTTTCGGCTACTGATTAAGACGTTCCAGATAGCACAGAGAATTCTTAAAGAATTCAAAAAGAATTCAATCGTATGTCACCAATTCTGAGTTCATTTTCAGATGCAAAAAAATCCTTCAGAATTCAGTTCAGCGAAAAGAATTTTTTTTGCATCTAAAAATGAACTCAGAATTGATTACATACGACGGGTTTTTTTTGAATTCTCTGTGTTATCTGGGATATTAATGCTCCACCAGAGAATAAGACTACAATCTTCGTGACATGTCCGTGAGGATTAAGAAAAAAACACAATCCGTGATTGATTGAGTTTGAAACACTTGGAAAATGCTTGGATTCGAGGTGTTTTTCCTTACCCAAACTTTTTTCAGGTCCAGAAAGCACCCACACTGCGGAGCTGGCCAATAAACCGTGCATCACCAATGCAACAGGTTTTTGCTCATTGCTGGAAGTCACTGTTTTTCCTCTTAACCGATGCATTGTTAAAATATAACCGTCATGGGTGACCACTGTATGTACCTCAGAGTGATATTCGTATTTATCCACCAGTTGTGCCTGTACAACGATAGCTTTCCAGTTTTTCGAATATAAAATCGACAGATCGGTGTAGAATTAGAGATTTCTCTCTCTACATTTAATTTATTAATTAATTATAAATTATTTATATGAATTAAAAAAGCAAGTACAGACATCAAACACTATGTAAACATCAAACTAGAATTTTTCAAATAAATTATACATTAACTTTCTTCTTATATCAAACTGAATTGCTTTTTTATTCCATTGACGTACTCTGACGTTGACAGTATTTAATATTATAATTATAAGCGTTTATATCCTTTGTATTCATTTGTTTACTACTAATAAAAATTCAAAGTAAGACGTTTAGACAATAATAAGAATAGAATAATACAATAATAGAAGGAAATCATGACATCTCGTGACATGACGTGTTTCGTTTGATTATATTATATTATAAGATTTGTGTACAGACCCTTAAAGATCTCAAAGGTCTTCAAAAGAACTCACGGTATTCTAGCTTTTAAAGTACTCACAGTGTCGAGATCCGCTTCCGATGCTAAATTTGCGTTGAATTGCAATTTCGCTAAACTTTCATCGGGCAATATGCGAAGCGAAGGATCCGACGTCGCGCGCACAAACGCCAGGATTGTGAGGAGGACCACGGTCGGTAGCAACATTTCCGAATACTCAATGAACGATTTACGATCTATCACCGATGATGAGTCCCGTGCGTGCGCGATTGTGTTGGGTTCTGCGCGTTTTTACGAGTAAACGCGCCGTATATATGGCGTCGCGCGGTCTTGAGAAACGCTTTACAGGGAGCATTTGTTTCCGTGTTGTCTTATCGTGCTTCATCTATTAATCCACAATAATTCATTTGATAATATAACAGCGATATTGGCGGTTAACGTCAATCTCAGTGAAGCATTGCGGAAAATGGGAAATATTATATTCGGTAGCGATAAGACTATCGAGGATGATTGATTGTTTTTTCATGATATGATTGAGCATGTCGTTTGTGTTGTGCACGCAGGTGAAATCTGACGCATGCATTTTTATGCAAATGATTTTATCAGACTGAATTCTTTTTAAAAACGAACCAGATGATTATTGCTATCTATACAATGTTAATACGGTTGATTGTGAAATTACCTGTCATTCTCGATTACTGTTTCAATTGAGATTGCGTGGGGATCACTGATTTTTTCTTTCGATCGGTTCTTTTGATAGACTTTTCATCAGATCATTGATACCATATCTGTTGACTAATTTTGAAATGGATCAAAGTAATTTGAAATTAACAAGTCGCAGCGATAGCTATTAGCAATAGAAGTACTTGCGACTTAGAAAAAATATGTTAAGAATAAATCTCAATAAAATGTCGTGAATATTCATCCGTCATCCATATTTACTTATACTGCACAAATGTCTAAAACTCATACAGCACAAATCTTCAAGACGTTCTAAAGACGTCCTAAAAACATACATCCTAAGAACGTTCTAGAACATTCTGTTCCACCAAACACAGAATATAAGTATTATATAACATAGAAGTAACACATAATATAACGTAATATAATGTTATACGTTATTAATGTTAAAATTACATAGTTTTCTTTTATAATTGCAATCTAATTGTGTTTTAGAACTGTTTATAATACAGTTATAATACTGTTATAATATTTTGTTATTTACAGGTTATAATTATATAACCAACATAACTAAAACATGTTATATAACAAGCGTTTATTTGCATTACATCTATACATATTACATGTTATATAGCATTCTTATATCTAGAAATCGGATTATTTGCTAGATGACTTCCATTTTCTTTCTCGTGTCTTTCTCGTACGTAAAATATGATGCATTAATATATATAAGAACAATGAACAAGACCGCACAACTTGTACTATGGAGTTCTATAGTAAAGTGAAGTGATACACTTTTTAATAATGGAAATTACTGTTACAATAGTAATCCTTTCCACTTGAATATGTACAGAAAGATGAAAATGAATAAATGAAAATAGCTCCATTAACACATAAAATGAGGACATACTGGGACACTAGACGTCTAGAATAGCTCTAGGATGATTCTGGAATATCTTGTGTTATTTGGGAGCTAATTAATTTAGAATGGCAAGATACTTTTATGTTATTACCTTTAGTAAAAATATTTTTGATACGAAATATATAATTATAACATTCTTAGGAGCATACTTTTACAAATTAAGTGATATTTGCGTGATAGCTTATAATCTCTGCGTACAATTAAATATCTATAATTGCTGGGGAATAATAATTTATATTCCAGCTATATAACATTTCAGTAATATATATAACAGCTATATAACATTTTAGTAATATGTTATATTTCTGTTATATAGTTGCAATATTGTTTGAGTGGGAAATTACAACTAACGTGTATGTTACATATAACAAACATGTTATATTGCACGTTACATTTCGTTATATTATGACGATGTAACTGTTATATTATTGTATTTGCTGGGTGTGAAGATTTTGTGCTATCTAGAAATACATTCCAAAAACATTACAGATATGTGATATCTCTGAGATGTCTTTACCTAGATAGCACAGAGAATTTAAAAAGAATACAATCGTATGTCACCAATTCTGAGTTTATTTTCAGGTGTAAAAAGAATTTTTCAAAGTTCAGTTCAGTAGAAACAATTCCTTTTGAATGCACGCAATGTCTGAGCACTGTAAACTGATTTTCCAACTTTATAAAAACGATGTCGCTAACATTGTTATGTCGTATGCAGTTTTTCTATCATATATCAAGCGACACGGTAGTATCGCGAAGCCAAATGCAAGCGCAAGCAACGGACTCGCGGCCGATCTTGTATATTTACGCGACGACTTTAGTTGAACACAGGCACAATTCCTCGTTTCGACTATAACGGCTGAATGGATGAGATTCTAAATCTCTTAATCTATTCCTTTACATTACTTCATAAACTACTGTCAATTACTGTCTTTACTTTTGCTCTACGTGTTCTAGAAGCTGAGATATTTTAACTCAAAGTTCGAAATCATAAATTTATGCTTGAAAAACGTCGTCTCCTCATTATGAAAACCTCAGTATTCCTCCGCTAGAGGTGCTACGATTGAGATCAGCCTGGTTAGCCGATATGAAAAAGAGAGAGAGAACGAGTGAGAGAGAAAGGAGTAGAATAGAATAAGAGAGAGAGAGAGAGGGGGAGAGAGAGACACATTTTTTATAAAAATTAATTATTTTAAAATATAATTTAAAAACTTGCTTTTTATATATACCTAAATATATTTATAATGTCCAAGTTCAATATAAAACTCAGTAAACATGTATGTCTAAAAGATGTCGAAAAGATACCTAAAAGATATCTTATGCAACATTTTGTTGCATAAGACGTCTTTTAGATATCTTTTCGACATCTTTTAGACATGCATGTTTATTGGGAAGTTATTAACAAAAAAATTCGTTTTCACTGATTAATATTATTTTGTGAAAAAAGATATAAAAACAATGTGATATAAAAACAAAATTACTTTTTTAAAAAAAATATAAGAAAAGCCAACTACACGCGCGTTAGCATTATTTGTCTTTACAAAAAAAAAATCGTTTTAAATAAATTACAACAAAAGCTCAGTTAAAAGATATTTAAAAAAATATTATTAAAACAACTTTATTCAGATCAATTGTATTCTCGCAAATACTCTATTGAAAAATACGAGACAATTTTATACTCTCTACAAAAGTACCCAGATAGCCAAACCTGTGCGAACAGATTTCGAACATAACTTAGTACCAATTTTTGATGACAAATAGTTAAAAAATTTGATGCAAGATCTGTTATCAAATCTTGCTGCCAAACTGTCGCCAGATATGCTACAGAGCCTATTGTCGGATAATTGCTGCAGATTTGCAGCAAAAACCGTACAGAGTTTGTAGTAATCTGACGGCAGATTGGCGGCAGAAACCGCGCAGACCTTGCTGCGCTGCAGGTTCTGCGCGGTTTTTGCTGCAAATCTGCAGCAATTGCCCGACAGCAAACTCTGTCGCCAAAACCGTAACTGAATGAGGACACAGATGACTATGGTTTTGGTGTAAATTTTTGATCAAATTTGCTGCTAATTTGCGCGCATTCTGCGCTCAATTTGCTTACTGGGTAATGATATCAAAAGGTTTACGCCAAGTACGATTGATTATTTATTTCAGTTGTTATTTTTATAACATATGTGGTTTTGGCTATATAATATATTTATAAATTAAATATATTATTAATATATTAGTAACATATTATTAAATAAAAGATAAAATAATTAGAGAAATACAATAAGGTTGAAAAATAATTATAATAACTTAAACAGTAAAAGTAAAAAATTACAATAACTTACACAAAAAGCACTTGGTATGTCTTTTTTTATAAGCAAACGGTTCTCTTATTTCAATAATTATCAAAATATTATATTGATTATCGATGTAATATTAAAAAAAGGCACGCCAAGTACTTTTTGTTAAGTTATTATAATTCTTATTATAAGTTATTATAATTCTTTTCAACATTATTGTAAGTTATTATAATTATTTTTCAACGTTATTGTATTTCTCTAATTATTTTATTTTTTATTTAATAATATGTTCCTAATATATTAATAATATATTTAATTTATAAATATATTATTTAGCTAAAACCACATATGTTTATAAAAGTAAAAACTGAAATAATTAATCATTCGTACTTGGCGTAAACCTCTTGATATTATTACTTTTGTAGAGAGTATAAAATTGTCTCGTATTTTTCAATAGAGTATTTGTGAGAATACGATTGATCTGAATAAAGTTGTTTTAATAATATTTTTTAAAATATTTTTTAACTGAGCTTTTGTTGTAATTTATTTATAACGATTTTTTTTGTAAAGACAAATAATGCTAACGCGCGTGTACTTGGCTTTTTTTATACTTTTTTTAAAAAAGTAATTTTGTTTTTATTATATCTACACAACTACAATATAACGATATTGTGTCGTTAAAAATTATTGATTCGGCCTACTAGAACTTACTCCAAAGATAATTAACATAATACATAATACATAATAGATTAGGCGATAAGTAACGATTTAAAATATAATTGTGAACCAGAGCCGATTTAGTCATATTACGACTTTGTTGAGATTGGTGGCGTAAAAACTTTGAAATTAATAAAAGAAACAACTCTATCTGCACAGACATGCCAAAAACGTTACAAGCACGTCGTTACGACGTTACCAGTAAGCAATCTGCGCGCAGACTGACATCAGATTGGCGACAGAATCTGTCGAATTCGAGCAAGATCTGTCGACAGATCCATAGACATTTGCGTCTCTAATCTGCTGTCAGACTGTTGACAGGATTTGCTAACAGACTCTGGCATCAGATTGGCGGCAAATTGCGCGCAGAGCCTGCCGACTCTGACAGCAAATTGCGCGCAGATTGCGCGTAGATCCTGTTGTTTCGTAGGTTCTTCAATTAAATCTTTGGTAGAAAATTTTCTCATAATTTTTCATAATTACTCATAGAATGAGCGCTTTCTCATAAATACTCATAAAATACAATGAAAGAAAAAAGTTTTTCTATATTATTTTTTCATAATTTTTAAGATTTTCTCTGGTGAGATTCGAACTTGAACCGAAGACATCTTTTGGATAATTGTCGCCTTAGACACTACGTCAATTCCTCACTTGATAAAAAGTGCTTTGTATTGCTCATTTAAGGTTTAAGGAAGAAAAATCTTAGAATTTGTTCACATTTTAAACCGCAAAATATAGACGAAACCGTTTAGCGTATAAATAATGTAAGAGAGACCGGCACGATAATTCGAAATTAATTTCCTACCAGGGACTGTATAGAAAATAGAGATGCCCGATTTTTAATCGATTCGATTCTTTCCCTAACAAATTTAGGGAAAAAGGGTAAACAAAGCGTCATTAAACTGCCCAGCGAACGTAAGTGGAATATTGCCGAGCTCCTCATAGGATGTTAACAAAAGGTTTGTTCGAGTTGCTTGTATTTTTCACATTTTTACACCTAATGCCTAAAAACACAAATTTTCCAAAATACATTCTGAAGATGTTTTCAGGACGGAGGGACGTTATCAAAATATTCTTATCAAAATAGTCCTTTGAAGGTGTGAATTGTCTAAAAATAGCTAATATCCAATAAGTTTATTCACATTAATTGAACTTTTTACACTTTTACACTTAATGTACATTAGATTCTTTAGAGGTTCTAAAAATGGCGTCATGTTTTCCATTCGTGTTACGAGTGTAAATGCAATTCTGATTCACTTTTCACTCTTGCTTGGGATCAAGTGTAAAAAGTGTATCAGAATTGTATTTACATTCGTAACACGAACGGAAATCCCCTACGATGCCCCCTTTATGCAGGATTCATACCGCGTCCGATGTCGACGTACGACGTCCGATATCCAATAGGAGAACAGTTTTTTAATATAGAATTCAATTCTTCATTGGAAAGCTATTCTTTTATTGGATATCGGACGTCGTAAGTCGGACATCGGACGCTGTGTGAATCCTGCATTAGTTGGAGGGCCCTTTCCCTGGGGGAACTTGTTTGGCCTCCCATGCCGACTCTGTTTAGCGACACAGTGGGGCCACTCCACCGCGGCGCTTCCCTCCAGGGCCGCTATAACTAGGGAGATGCACCCCCGTGCATCCCCCAGCGGCCCATAATATAATAACCTTAATCTAACCTAATCTAACTTATAATAATATATTTATTTTGTTTTAAAAAAATCTAGTGCGCTACACGTTTTGTATTATGTTAAAATTTTATATACATGCACACTCATCATACGTATTCATTTTGTACATTTTCCAATACACTATATACACTTTCCAATTGCAATATTCCTAGACATTTTCATGCACACGGCTACACAAGTTGCATTCCAATTGTCGTAATCGTCCACACAATACTACACATCCGTATTCAGCTCGAGGGCTACTAGTCGGCTGTGTAAACTAGCATTCTTTAGTGAAAATTAGTTAATAAGCGTAGCGGCTTGAAAAGAGACTGACATTTGCGACGTGAAGTGAATAATATCTTTTTTATTATTTAGATTTTATTATTTATTATTAAAAAATATCAAAATATAAGCATAGTTGAAAAATAATTTTAATCTTACCCGGCATACATACACATTAGTACACACACATTAGTATACACTTGTTTCAATTGAATCGTGCACAACGTTACACTTTGTGCACTCTGTGTACATATGTATCAAGATGTGTTAAGCAATTGGAAAGCACCCAGATGATGCGTTAGCGCTAAATAGTGCTGACAACGTATTTTCCGAACGCACCTCTGATCGTTTTTGCACTGATTATGGGTGTTTACGTGTAGCAATCGGATTTCCAATCGGATTGATATAATTGCAGTAATGGCTGCATTTCGAAATTCACTGCAAGTACTGAAAATCTATAATTCATGTCATGTATACTATAGAATTTCAGTACTGACAGTGAATTTCGGAACGCAGCCAATGTAAATTGTCTAAACAGAAAGTTCCCTAGGCTAACCGGATTACCAAATCGTGTCCGTGAGGGACGGATCGGATTAGCGGATGCAGAGAAACGTTGAGTATATAATTATGTCTCTTAAGAAATAAATATTAAGAAGTAAATAGAAAAGTAGGTATGTGCATTGTTAATTTTCATTATAATTAACGTATATTCTTCATTATAATTAACGTTTCATTATAATTAACTTTTCATTATAATTAACTTTTCATTATAATTAACTTTTCATTATAATTAACGTATATTCTTCTGCAAATGTATATAGATAAATAAAGATTTATTTCTATTTTACTGATATGTGTACATTAAAGAAATAAATACATTTTAACCTAAATGTGATTCAGTCGTTAACATACAAGTTTATTAAAATATAAAATATTTTCAAAGTTAAAGAATTATGAAAATGAATGAGGAAGGAATGTTTGAACAGAGTCAATTTGGTATGTATATATACATACCAAATGACTGAAGCACGTTTAGTTTAAGATGTACTTATTTCTTTAATACATACATAGTAGTAAAATAAAAATAAATCCTTATTTATCTATATACATCTGCAGAAGAATATAATTATAATGAAAATAATAACGTACATATTTACTTTTCTATTTATTTCTTAATATTTATTTCTTAAGAGATGTAAATATGTACGCACTCTCTCTATCTCTCAGTGGTTTTCAGACCTGGTCCTATTGGCCTTTTCAACACAACTTTATGATATGTGGAAGTATATACGCAATGTTTCTCTGCATCCGCTAATCCGATCCGTCCCTCACGGATACGATTTGGTAATCCGATTAGCCTAGGGAACTTTCTCTCTAGACAATTTACATCATTGCGATTAATCCGATTGTTACACGTAAACACCCTAGGCTGCGTTCAGATTCTCCACCCGGGTATATTCTATTACTAGAAGTGCTATAGTTTATGTAACATATACTGTAGTGTTTCTAGTAATAGAGTGCACCTGAATGAGGAATCTGAACGCACCCCTATGGCTGCGTTCCGAAATTCACTGTCAGTACTGAAATTCTATAGTATATGTGACATGAACTATAGATTTTCAGTACTGACAGTGAATTTCGGAACGCAGCCTATACTTGCTCAAGATGGACGAGATATTCTAGGTTAAGTTAGGTTGTGATGAGTGAATCTACGAGTCTTTCATAGTAACTGGTTTTCCGCAACACGGAGAAACATTGTTGCTAATTAGGCTACGTAAATGACACATGTATGTGAAGATGTTGTATCATAATGTATATTTGCAGGTCGAAATGTACGTGAGCAAAAGTTGAAGTGAAACTCAAAAAGCGTATTCCGCGCTGCGAATTGGTTTCAGTTCTTTTTGTTACATTTAGCGATTGTTCTTGTATTTTTTATTATGAAGAGACGTCAGAGAAGGCCGGTATTGACCATCGATAAGCCACAAAGTACTTATCACATTGAACACATGCAAGGTAAGTATCCATCAATCTTTTTAATTTTGATATAAATTTACTAGCTACGATTACTACAATTATCATTGGTGGTGTTAACTTTACATTAGAAATAAATTAACATTAATATAAAACATAGTTAATATATATTATATAACTTGTACATATTGCATGTATATATTTGTAAATAACATGGTTATAGGTAGGCACAAGCCAGCAAATAATGTACAACCTGCACAAAATGAAGCTGAGAATCCATTGGCCAACTTGTTATGTCAGTACAATTCTGACAGTGATACAGAAGATTCCAAGAAAGATGTACAAAAATTGGACGATCAAGTCAATGATTTCTTTAAGGTAAGTTCTAGATAACCAAATCTGCAGAAAAAAATTTTCTGTAGCATCTGCAATAAATATTTTTAGCAGCTTAGTAAAAATACAACAGGATTTGTCACTAAAATATAATAGTAAATTAATGATAGGAACTGAACAGGTCTTTTATATATATATATATATATATATATATATATATATATATATATATATATATATATATATATATATATATATATTTTTTT